CTCCAACTTACTATCTTCCCTCCATCATTCCCCTCTACCCTACTTCCCCTCCCCCTCTACGCATCTGTAGTTTTGATATGCCTCGTTCAGCAGATGCAAACCGTTGGTTCTGACTTGTTTCCGTTTTGTTCTGGTCTCCCTTCTAGCTTCTACCTGTGAATTTTCCGATATTGTGGAACTGTTGCTTCAATCCGGAGCTGACCCTACTCTTCGGGACACGGAAGGATACTTGCCTGAGGAGGTGACAGACTGTAGAGTAATCACCTCTATGCTCCAGGAACACACAGCTGGCAAAGCTTAACCGAAAAGCCAAGGAGGTGAAGCCCAAGGCTTTCAGAATGGAACAAAAACTGTAATAAATCCATCCTTCTCCTACTGCGTAGTCTGCACAATGCATAAGGATTGGAATTTGTTGAATGAAAAGTACTTGGTATTGATGCAATTTTGGAAATCCAAAAACTAAGGAGTGGACTGTGACTCACACAGCATAACCTATTATCTACCATGTGAAAAATAACCTCAGCCATAGTTTGCGACTTGCTTAATAGTCCCCTCCTTTTTTTTTTTCAGTCTTAAAACTAGTAAAAAGGATATATTGGCTTTCTGCTATCGTGTCAGATGTAGCTGTAAGAGATGTTCAGTTGGGTAGGTTGCACGCTACAAGCCTGATACATCAGAAGTCCTGCTTTATCAGGACAGGAGTTTCATCATGTATGGAGGCTACGGAGAAGAGAAAAAAGGAACCATACTAAAGCTGAAGTCCTATGTGTTCCTTCTTGAGAATAAGCCCTAATTAGACACACGAATAGTGTTGAACCTGCTTTCCCAAGTGGATTTAAGGATTAACTTCTTATCTGCAACTTGTAGGAAAGGAAGATCCAATAGCTGGATAGGGGAATGGAAGATATGAGCCAGTTTATAAAACGTTTTTCCCCCCCAAACTTCCACATTAGTGACAGTGTTATTATTTATATTTTTTTGAACTCAGAATTAGAAATACTATGGTGCTCTAAGATCCGAAAATAAAGGCAGCAGATTTTTTCCCCTTGATCCTAAACTGATTCGCTGGTTAGCTAAGTAGTTGCTGTGTTGTTAAACTATGAGAACTGATGGGCATGTTAATTGTGTATATCTCTCTGTTTCTGGTATAAAAATACTTTCCTGCATGATATGAGATATATAAAAATGTTCCTGGAATATTTCTTCTTTTTTTTTTTTCACCTGCCATTAAACCAAACTAGTTATATAAAAAGCATCATGTGTTTATATTGGACACTACAAAATCTGATCTTGATTTTTTTTTTAACCCTGTAGGTATAACTAAAACATTTTTAGAGGAAATATCAACATAGATGGCTAAAACCTCATGGACAGAAAGGGAGAAAAAATATTATAATCCCTAAGCTTGTTACCGTAGTCTGCCTCAGAAGAAATGTACATTTTCAGAATGGCTGCATCCAATTTCTGACTATGTCCTACTTACACAATTTCTAGTGGGAGCCTTCTGTGTGTTTCACATGAAGCAAGGCGCAGTTCATAGTAAACTTTTCAGTTTGATATTGAGAGCCGTGGTTCACCGACAAAACCGCGAAGCCCTTTTCCGCGCCGATATAACCGCGGAGGGCAAATCCGCGCCGTCGGAAGCACTAAGGAAAAAGGCTACCCTAGCGCGCCAACATAACCGTGGAGGGCAAATCCGCGCCGNATTTTTTTAACATTTTCTAATGGTGGTGTGCCTCGTGATTTTTTTCATGAAAAAAGTGTGCCTTTGCACAAAAAAGGTTGAAAAACACTGTACTACACTATACCTTTTTACCAATATTTGCAAGTCTTAAATTTTCTTCGATTTCCTATTTTTAGTAAACATTTTATCAAAAGACACCAATATATCTACTTCCTTTTATCATGTTATTCAAGCCTATCAACTTTATCACATGCCAATTCACATAAAATAAGGTTTATTTCTCATGTTCATACATTTCTCAGTGATCTGTTGAAAAGATAAAATCCATACTTTATTTTCCATTTCTCAAATTTTGGTCATTATTATGGTCCCTACTCTTTGAATCAAAATTTAATCAAATACTTTTCTGAATAGACCTAAGAATCTTACCCTTTATCGTTTTTGCTTGCAACCTCTCCTACTTTACATAGAGAAACATTAATTGTATTTTTTCAAATGTCAAGTGTAGATGGATTTTCAGTCGCATATTAAATAAATTACACAGATACTCTCGGAAGAAGTCACATTAATATTTTAACATTTCTCCACTTGCGCAACCTATGTCTGCAACCTTGCCTCTTTTTCAACATCCTTGAAGCACTTACAGCTTATTTTCCATGCGTGTGATGAGGAGCCATCATCAGGAGTAGTTTTCCAACAGCTTCCAGGCTGAGAGATTGTCCTTCTCAGTTGGAAGGCAACAGGAAGAGAAAATAGATTCTCTTCAGGCAGCTTTCCCCAATCTGGGCCATATGCATAGACTTCAACTTCCAAAAGTCCCAAGCCAGCATGGGCATTGCTTAGAATTCTGACATTGAAGCTGGTACATCTGAATGACGTGGAGTTGGGAAAAGTATTCTCAGGATTTACTGAGGTTAAACTGTAAATGGTTTAAGTTAATTAAAGACTGCTAGAAACATCCAGCTGAATCAGACCAAAGATTAACTAAACCAGCACTGCAGAAACATCTTATGATCCAGATGAATTTGTAAAGTTCATAAATAGGCCAGCTATTTCCTCTGCCACCCCCAACAAGCTCTAAAACCCTACATTTTTAAATGAAAGGCCACAAACATTAACATTTACCAGCCCTAAATCTTCTTGTCTCAGACACAGAAACTAAATGTTCATGAGAAAACATGCACTTTTTTTCTGAAGAGTGTTCGAAGACTACAGTTGGTCCAGAATGCAGCCGCGCGAGTGATAATGGGTGTACCTAGATACACCCATGTTACACCTATCCTCCGAGAGCTGCACTGGCTCCACATTGGTCTCTGGATGCGCTTCAAGGTGCTAGTCGTTACTTTTAAAGCCCTACAT